TAAGATAGACCTGTTCACTGGTATGATTTCACTGAAGACCGGGGTAGAAATTAGCCGATCTGTGGACCAGTATGCTTTTATATTATGCTTATAGACATGAGGCATAAGCATTATTGTTGCAAAAAGCAAATACATTTCTGCAACAGTCGTCTCTTTCCACCTGTGTAGTCTTGACTGTGGTGATATGATCGTATTTGCCATGGTGTACTCAAAATACTTATTACTTTCCCTGACAATAGTTTCCATCAATGGCTGGTCAAAGAATAATTCAAAGAATTCCAGTTCATTGGCCGTGGTTCCAAGGGGACAAGTAGGTAGAATTCAACTTTGAGAGTCATCAAAGTGGTGAGGCTTGGGAACAAAATTGGGATTTTGCTGCCAATCCCTCATACGGTTTGCTGGTGGATACTGGACATCATAGGCTGGTTGTGCGGGTGGTTGTGGTTGTGGTGGGCTGGTGGCTGATGCTCCGCTTTGTCCTTGAACTGACGAGTCAGCAGCGTGGGTCCCAACGTGGGCTGGTGAGTCACGCATGGCGGTGCCACTACCATCACCACTACCACCATCCACTGATGCCTGTGGTCTATCCATGCCAAGTATAGCCACATCATCCTCACTATCACTACCTAAAACTGGTGTAGGGCCACGGGATGTACTCCATCCCCTGGGCACAGCATAGGGTACACTACCCGAGCGCATGCGGCGGCGAACATACCGACGCTTCACTGGTGAATATGATTCCTCACTATCACTACTCGAATGATCGTCGAGCGCAATAAAATCACAATCCACGTCACTATCATCATCATTACTGAAGTCAGAGGCCTGGCCACGCGAAAATATTAGCTTTCTCTTGCGTTGAGGAACAACCGACCGTGAGTCATGAGTGCCCACACCGGAGGTAGAAGGTTGAGGATCGTCAGGGTTTTCTGCACTATTATCGATATCCTGGTCATTCTTTTCGGTCACTAACTGATCAAAGCCGTAGAATTCGTCTTCATTTCCACTTCCATCAGTGTCAGAACTATCAGATAGGAAGAGGAGAGTCCCAATTTTCCGGGGAGTGAGAGCTGACTTGCGACGAGGCATGGTGAACAAGGGTAACTGAGCCGGCGTCCCCACAATGGTATGTGGGCGCCTAGATTTTTTGTTTATGGCACACACCCACCACGCAGACCCGTTCTCTCACATGTAGGCCTATGAGCGCTTTCGCGCTAAATTTGACGGCGCTAGAATTTTGGCATAGATCTATGGTTTGGACACTCAACGTGAAGCCGTAGATCTACGGGACGGACCCTGAAAGGGTTAACATATACAAAATTTAAAGCACCCCAGAGTGATTATTATTATTGTTATTATTATTTTATTTTTAGGGCACCCTGCCTCTGTGGGATATGGCTGGTTGGTTGAAAAAAAATATTATTATGCTTATTGCATCTTCAACACTAGTGAGAGACACTGATTTTAATGTGTACCTGCACACCAGCACAGTGTGTAAGTTTATTTAGGTATAGGTGCACTTATTAAGTGGAATTATGAGAGCATACACATTATACGCAGTGACTTTAAAACACTTGAAATTTTGAGAAGTTTCCAGATGCAGAGCTCACAGAGGATGTAAACAGAGTGGTACACGGATGCTGTAATAGCAAATCCGGGAGCTGTATAAACAAATTTTTTGTCATAATTTGATATGTCTGTATTAGTGAATCGCCATAAAACTGGGCCCTCCTGTACAGTGGAACCTCGGTACTCTAACAGCTCCCTACTCGAACAAAGCTCAGCACTCACCAAACAAACATGACCTGCCAGAACTTCGGTGCAAACTATATCGTATTTTTTTATGTTGTATAAATAACTCGCCATGGGGCCTACGAAGATTAGTGATAACAGCCAACCAAGAGAAAATTGGTTGGGAAGAATTTGTTCTGTACTCGAATGGATCGGCACTCGAATAGCCTTCTGGAATGAATTAAGTTCGAATACCGAGGTTCCACACTATATGTTTGAATTCTGGAATATTTTTGTTTTTTCCTCTCCTTTTTTCTTAGTCGTGCCTCACCAAAATGTTATGTTATCTACATCACATCACTTAGTTTTGACTTATTTTTTCAATTACTTTGGTTCTAGGCATAATCCAAAAACCTCATCATTTTTTCTTTTAACATGCTAGCTGTTTCCCAGTATCACTGTCATGTCTTGATCTTACAAATTGCAAAATTTATGTATGATAAAAGTGATGAGCTTTCTTTTGCATTTGGTTATTTTGATAACCAACTTTTTTCAGACATCCAGGATCTTTCTTCTAGTGTGATGTAGTATTAATGAATGGATGTATTTTACCGTACATACAGTTGTAAGTACGTGTGTTCAGTAGACTTTATTGGAAATTGTAGTAGTGATATTTTTACAAAGCTTAATTAAATAATACTAGCTTCTAATTTGGTATTCACTGTAGATTTTGAGGTCTGACTGGTTGAAATAGAATTCCTCCCTGATATATCTGGTGTAGGTAACCAGATTATTTTATTTCCTTGATTAATACAGTACTGTGGTAGAGAACAAAGATACCTCCCTCAGTTTGTCTGATGTGATCATTTCAATTTTGCAAAAACAGTGATAATGTGTGAGTGTGGTGAAAGTGTTGAATGATGATGAAAGTATTTTCTTTTTAGGGATTTTCTTTCTGTTTTGGGTCACCCTGCCTCGGTGGGAGACGGCCGACTTGTTGAAAAAAAAAAAAATAAAAAATTTAGGGAGTGTGTGTAAAGGTAGAAAGTTGAAAGTGAACATAGAAAAGAGTAAGGTGATGAGGGTATCAAATGATTTAGATAAAGAAAAATTGGATATCAAATTGGGGAGGAGGAGTATGGAAGAAGTAAATGTTTTCAGATACTTAGGAGTTGACATGTCGGCGGATGGATTTATGAAGGATGAGGTTAATCATAGAATTGATACAGGAAAAAAAGGTGAGTGGTGCGTTGAGGTTTATGTGGAGTCAAAAAACGTTATCTATGGAGGCAAAGAAGGGAATGTATGAAAGTATAGTAGTACCAACACATTACGTGTATATGGGTTTGAAGCTTGGGTAGTAAATGCAGTAGCGAGGAGGCGGTTGGAGGCAGTGGAGATGTCCTGTCTAAGGGCAATGTGTGGTGTAAATATTATGCAGAAAATTCGGAGTGTAGAAATTAGGAGAAGGTGTGGAGTTAATAAAAGTATTAGTCAGAGGGCTGAAGAGGGGTTGTTTGGTTTGGTCGTTTAGAGAGAATGGATCAAAGTAGAATGACATGGAGAGCATTTAAATCTGTAGGAGAAGGAAGGCTGGGTAGGGGTCATCCCCGAAAAGGTTGGAAGGAAGGGGTAAGGGAGGTTTTGTGGGCGAGGGGCTTGGACTTCCAGCAGGCGTGCATGAGCTTGTTCGATAGGAGTGAATGGAGACGAGTGGTATTTGGGACTTGACAATCTGTTGGAGTGTGAGAAGGGTAATATTTAGTGAAGGGATTCAGGGAAACCGGTTATTTTTATATACCCGGACCTGAGTCCTGGAAATGGGAAATACAATGCCTGCACTCTAAAGGAGAGGTTTTGGGATATTAGCAGTTTGGAGGGATATGTTGTGTATCTTTATACGTATATGCTTCTAAACTGTTGTGTTCTGAGCACCTCTGCAAAAACAGTGATTATGTGTGAGTGAGGTGAAAGTGTTGATGAAAGTATTTTCTTTTTGGGGATTTTCTTTCTTTTTTGGGTCACCCTGCCTCGGTGGGAGACGGCCGACTTGTTGGAAAAAAAAAAAAATAGAATGTAAGGATTATATGTGAGTGAGGTGTACGTGTTGAATGATGATGAAAGTATTTTTCTTTTTGGGGATTTTCTTTCTTTTTGGGTCACCCTTCCTCAGTAGGAGATGACCAACGTGTTAAAAAAAAAAAATGGAATGTTTTTACATTTAGAATTATGGTGCCCTGTGGTCTGGTGCCAAAAGCTCTTGCTTCACACGTTGAGGGTCTGGGTTTGATTCCCGGTGAAGGGGTGGAAACATCAGACGTGTTTCCTACACTGGTTGTCTATGTTCACCCATCAGTAAAATGGGTACCTGGGTGTTAGTCAACTGGAGTGGGTCGCACCCTGGGACAAAACTGACCTGATTTGACCAAAATGCTCAGCATAACAAGGGGCTTTCTATATAGTAGTATGTCATTGATGTCAGCTAGGCCTGTATACCTTGTACTTTTTTTTTTTTTTTTTTATAACAAGTCGGCTGTCTCCCACCGTGATTGTAGTAAATAAAGATTTTTTTTATTTTCAACAAACCAGCCGTATCCCACCAAGGCGGGGTGGCCCAAAAAGAAAAACGAAAGTTTCTCTTTTTAAATTTAGTAATTTGTACAAGAGAAGGGTTACTAGCCCCTTTCCCCCCGGCATTTTAGTCGCCTCTTACAACACACATGGAGTAAATAAAGATACAGTGGACCCCCGGTTAACGATATTTTTTCACTCCAGAAGTATGTTCAGGTGCCAGTACTGACCGAATTTGTTCCCATAAGGAATGTTGTGAAGTAGATTAATCCATTTCAGACCCCGAACATACACGTACAAACACACTTACATAAATACACTTACATAATTGGTCGCATTCGGAGGTGATCGTTATGCAGGGGTCCACTGTATTAGTATGCGTATTATTATTATACTTACAATGGGATGGTAACAATAGAATCCTGTCATATATTTTATTTATTACATGTTATCCTTTAAATTATTTGTCTGAAACAGATCATTACTTTTGCATCCAGTTTATTCACTCCTGTCTGTATTCAGTGTTAATTATTGTTTGTTGATATAATTTATTAAAAAATGGTTTTGATGCTCAAAGTGTATTAAATAAAATGTCTTTTAAAATATTAAATATATGCATTATAATTTGAATGCACTCTTATTGTATATGTTGTCTACTTGCTTGGTATAGGATGTTTAAAAGTTTGTTTATCTTTTAGGTTGATTCGTCACTGTGAGAAGTTGCTGGAAGAAAAAGATGAAAAATTATGCATTCAGGTTCTCAAGACTTTAAAAGACATGATAACAGATTCAGAATATGGAGAGAAGGTAAGAAACAAATTTAAAACTTTATAAGTTATAGAAAGGAAAATAAATTCTTTTCTTATATTCATGCTGAATGCCTTTGAGGAGTTGTTAAATGTTGATGAAGATATGGAAGCTGTGATTTCATGTATAGGGCAAGGAGGCATAACACCTTGTAGGAGTGAGTTGTGAGTGTGGGGGAAGTTCTTGAAGCAGTGGGTAGAATGAAAGGGGGTAAAGCAACTGGGATTGATGGGATAAAGATAGAAATGTTAAAAGCAGGTGAGGATATAGTTTTGGAGTGGTTGGTGCATTTATTTAATAAATGTATGAAAGGGTAAAAGGTACCCAGGGATTGGCAGAGAGCATGCATAGTTCCTTTGTATAAAGGCAAAGGGAACGAAAGACAATGCAAAAATTATAGGGGAATAAGTGAGTTGAGTATTCCTGGTAAGATGTATGGTAGAGTAAGAGTAAGATGGAGAGTAGGATAGCAGATGAACAAGGAGGCTTTAGGAAAGGTAGGGGATGTGTAGACCAAGCATTTATAGTGAAACAGCTTTAGATATGGGTAAAGAGGTTTTTGTGGCATTTATGGATTTGGAAAAGGCATATGACTAGGTGGATAAGGGGGCAATGTTGCAAATGTATGGAATAGGAGATAGGTTATTGAAAGCAGTGAAAAGTTTTTATGAGGTTAGTGAGGCTCAGGTTAGAGTGTGTAGGAGAGAGAGAGAGAGATTATTTCCAAGTAAAACTAGGTCTTAGACAAGGATGTGTGATGTTGCCATGGTCGTTCAGTATATTTATAGATAGGGTTGTAAGAGAGGCGAATACTCGGGTGTTGGCAAGAGGTGTGGGGTTAAGAGATAAAGAATCTAACATAAAGTGGGAGTTGTCACAGTTTCTCTTTGCTGATGACACGGTGCTTTTGGGAGATTCTGAAGAGAAGTTGCAAAGGTTGGTGGATAAGTTTGGTAGGGTATGTAAAAGAAAATTGAAAGTGAATATAGGAAAGAGTAAGGTGATAAGGATAACAAAAAAATTAGGTGGCGAAAGATTGGATATTAGATTGGAGGGAGAGTATGGAGGAGGTAAATGTGTTCAGATATTTAGGAGTGGATGTGTCAGCAGATGGGTCTATGAAAGATGAGGTGAATCATAAAATTGATGAGAGGAAAATGGTGAGTGGTGTACTGAGGAGTCTATGGAGACAAAGAACTTTGTCCATGGAAGCAAAGAGGGGAATGTATGAGAGTATAGTTATACCAGCACTCTTATATGGGTGTGAAGCATGGGTGGTGAATGTTACAGCAAGGAGAAGGCTGGAGGCTGTGGAGATGTCGTGTCTGAGGGCAACGTGTGGTGTGAATATAATGCAGAGCATTCGTAGTTTAGAAATTAGGAGGTGTGGAATTACCAAAACTATTATCCAGAGGGCTGAGGACGGGTGGCTGAGGTGGTTCGGACATGCAGAGAGGATGGAACAAAATAGAATGACTTCAAGAGAGCATAAATCTGTAATTGAGGGAAGGCGGGGTAGAGGTTGGCCTAGGAAAGGTTAGAGGGAGTGGGTAAAGGAGGTTTTGTGTGCGAGGAGCAGATGGAGACGTGGTTTTTTAGGACTTGATGTACTGTTGGAGTGTGAGTAGGGCAATGTTTATCAAGGGATTCAGGGAAACCAGCAGGTTGAACTTGAGTCCTGAGAATTACAGTGCCTGCGCTCTGAAGGAGGGGTGTTAATGTTGCAGTTTTATAACTGTAGTGTAAGCGTGCCTTTGGCAAAACAGTGATGGAGTGAATGATGGTGAAAGTTTTTCTTTTTTGGGCCACCCTACCTTTGTTGGAAATGGCCAATGTGTTAATAATAATGTAATAAAACTATATACATTTATTTACTGCAATGTATCATGCTTACATTTGTTTTAGTTTTCTTGTTGTCAAAAAGATATCTGTTATGCTAATTTTAAAATGGACTAAAGATTATACAGTTCATGATTTCATATACTTTAGGAACATAAACAACAGAGTGAAGATGATAATTGTGATGTGTGGGCTCTTTTCCAGATCATCTGGAAAGGCTACAGATGTGTAAGTGCTGTTAATAGGTGCGGCAGTACCAACAAACTGTCAAATAGACGTGCAGACAGCACTTCCATCATTTCATTAGGAAACTCTTACCCATTGGGGCTTCATCAGTCCATTAGATTGATCAAGTCCTCAGCAGGAAAAATATCTCATAATAAAATGTCCTAAGTATTGCATACATGTCTATTCTTATGAAAGAAGATTGATGTCTTGGGTTGATGCAGAGAGAATCTGGTCTGTTTGAACCAGTAGTGTTATTCTGAAGTGGGTTGAGATGAAACAAGTGTATGCCAGCCATGATATGCTGTTCATAGGTATTGCAACAGTGAGGCAGTGTGTGCAAGAAAATGTGAAAGAAAGTTCATCGGCAATTGCTCAAGAGGAAATTATGTCAAAGTGATTGAATGTTTTAGCTTCCAGGTACCAGGTATAAAAAAAAATACTTATATATACAGTGGAACCTCGGGTAACGAATTTAATCCGTTGCGTGACCTTGCTCGTATTCCGATCTACTCGTATGCTGAGTCAATTTTCTTCATTTAAATTAATTGATATGCCATTAATCTGTTTCAGCGGAATTCCTGCTCTCAGGAGGCAAGAATATAACTCTAATATCAGTTCTACGGCTTATTTATCTATCACAATTCATCTAATATGACATAAACAATATACATGTAAATAACATAGAAACCTGTATATACAGTGGTACCTCGAGTTTCGAACAGCTCCCAACTTGAGCAGTTATGTAAGTGTATTTTTGTAAATGCTTTTGTAAGTGTATTTTTGGGGGTCTGAAACGAACTAATCTAATTTACATTATTCCTTATGGGAACAAATTCGTTTGGTATCGGCACTCGAACAGCCTTCTGGAACAAATTAAGTTTGTAACTCGAGGTACCACTGTACTCTAGAATGAATAAAATATGTCATGTGACAAGTGGTGGGGGCCATTCCCTACCTCAAGCGGCCGCCTTGTTGTGGGTCAGCGAGGGAGACCTCCTGCCATCCCCCAACACTCCCAACACCACCATCCCAGCTTATGTGCTCAGTTCCACGTCTCTCCTACAAGCTAGCTGTATTTGTGAATTGTGTTTTGATCTTTTAATTACCATATCTTATATCTGCCAAGCAATCATGACACCCATTAGGCATACCAATATTGCTTAATGACTTACTGACTTGACTGAATGACTTACTGACTTGACTGAATGACTTACTGACTTGACTGAATGACTTACTGACTTGACTGAATGACTTACTGACTTGACTAACTGAATGAATTGACTGACTGACTGACTTAATTAACGACTTGACTGACTGAATGACTTGACTGACTTACTGAAGGATTTAAAGTTAGAGTTTTTCACTGAAGAGGACCCTGAAATGGTGTCTACAGCAGCCGATCCTTACCATCAGTTGTATAATGTACCGCAGGGCATTATAGAACAGAAATCCATTGCAGAATTTATGCACACTCCAGCACAACCATCGACTTCAGTACCAGAACCTCTACCATCTACCTCAGCCCAGTAGGACCACAGCATAACTCTCCACTCTCTTCACAATCATCGACAAATTTAAGGTAAGAAATACTATTATTTCTGTTGCAGCTATAGTCTTAAGCAGTAAAAACAACATAATACATCACAACAGTGAACTACAGTTATATATTCACTTTCAGTTTTGTAAGATCTGAAGGTCTAAATAAAAGTTGTTGGAAGGGGAAGCTTGCATCCTGAAGGCATCCTGGAGGCAGTGGAGATGTCATGTCTGAGGGCAGTGTGTGGTGTGAATATAATGCAGAGAATTCGTAGTTTGGAAGTTAGGAGGAGGTGCGGGATTACCAAAACTGTTGTCCAGAGGGCTGAGGAAGGGTTGTTGAGGTGGTTCGGACATGTAGAGAGAATTGAGAGAAACAGAATGACTTCAAGAGTGTATCAGTCTGTAGTGGAAGGAAGGCGGGGTAGGGGTCGGCCTAGGAAAGGTTGGAGGGAGGGGGTAAAGGAGGTTTTGTGTGCGAGGGGCTTGGACTTCCAGCAGGCATGCGTGAGCGTGTTTGATAGGAGTGAATGGAGACAAATGGTTTTTAATACTTGACGTGCTGTTGGAGTGTGAGCAAAGTAACATTTATGAAGGGGTTCAGGGAAACCGGCAGGCTGGACTTGAGTCCTGGAGATGGGAAGTACAGTGCCTGCACTCTGAAGGAGGGGTGTAAATGTTGCAGTTTAAAAACTGTAGTGTAAAGCACCCTTCTGGCAAGACAGTGATGGAGTGAATGATGGTGAAAGTTTTTCTTTTTCAGGCCACCCTGCCTTGGTGGGAATCGGCCAGTGTGATAATAATAAAAAAAAAAAATCCAGAAACAAAAAAATCGACCGAGCAACAGCTCGTATCCTGAAAAACTCACATGGTGGGACGCTCGTTAGCCGAGGTTCCACTATATATACATTTTTTGGCATGATACTGTAGATACAGTAGACCCTCTCTTAAAGTTTTGCATAATGTACAGTATTTTTTAATTGAAATTTTTTTTATTCCTTTCCCCCAACCATCTACCATCACTGCCACTGCTACCTATCACCATCATTCACACCCACCACCACTACCACTATCAAGGACATAGCAAATCTCAAAGCTGATGTAAACATAGTTTTCCAGTGGGTCACTGACAACAATGTAATGCTAAATGAGGACAAATCTCAGTTACTGCACTATGGAGAAATTGGCAAAATAGACCAGAGCAGAGTATAAAACAATCTCATTTTATTGAATGGAGAGAAAGACTAATCTTTCTTTCTTTCAACACACCGGCTGTATCCCACCGAGGCGGGGTGGCCCAAAAGAAAAAAACAAAGTTTCTCCTTTCAAATTTAGTAATATATACAGGAGAAGGGGTTACTAGCCCCTTGCTCCCGGCATTTTAGTCGCCTCTTACAACACGCATGGCCTACGGAGGAAGAATTCTGTTCCACTTCCCCATGGAGATAAGAGGAAATAAACAAGAACAAGAACTAGAAAGAAAATAGAAGAAAACCCAGAGGGTTATGTATATATACGCTTGTACATGTATGTGTAGTGTGACCTGAGTGTAAGTAGAAGTAGCAAGACGTACCTGAAATTTTGCATGTCCATGAGACAGAAAAAAGGACACCAGCAATCCTACCATCATGCAAAACAATTACAGGCTTTCATTTTACACTCACTTGGCAGGACGGTAGTACCTCCCTGGGCGATTGCTGTCTACCAACCTACTACCTAGAAGAAAGACTAATGCAAGAGATAATATCAGATCTCACTCTCGAGGATCACAGGAAATCTCATTATCACAACTGCAAGAAAAATAATAGGCTGGATAGCTAGATCCTTTAAAACAAGAGATACCAAGCCTATGATGACACTCTTCAAGTTACTTGTTCTCTCTTGGCTGGAATACTGCTGTACTCTAATAGCCCTTTTTAAGGCAGCTCTGGAGAATGTACAGAAAACCTTCATTGTTCATGTAGATTCAGTCAAGCATCTAAATTATTGGGAACACTTAAGTTTCTCAGTCTGTACTCCTTTAACCCTTTGAGGGTTTTCGTCGTACTAGTACGTCTTACGCGTAGGGGTTTTTGACGTACTAGTACGCATAAATTCTAGCGGCCTCAAATCTAGTGGGAGAAAGCTGGTAGGCCTTCATATGAAAGAATGAGTCTATGTGGTCAGTGTGCACAGTCTAAAAAAAATCCTGCAGCACACAGTGCATAATGAGAAAAAAAAAACTTTGACCATTTTTTTGGAATAAATCAGCGACTTTGCAGTGTATTTTCGTATGGTATTTATTGTTGTATTCTAGTTTTCTTGGTCTCATTTTATAGAATGGAAGACATATTACAGAAATTGAGATGATTTTGGCTGGTTTTACAATGAAAGGTGCCTTGAAATTGAGCTCAAAGTAGCAGAAATGTTCGATTTTTACCAAACTTCAAAAGTAAACAAATCGTGCCAAGCGTGCAATACACGTCAACTGGTGAGTCTAATATTCTTTCACAAGTGCACCAATAATATTTATACCATTTTTTACACTAATGCAGTAGTCTGCATAACAGTAAATCTTATATTTTTTGTGAGAATAAAAATTCAAAATGGAAAGCAAAAGAATATAAGAGGGACCTTGAGACGTGACTAATGACTAGAGGAAATGTCATTTTAGTGCCAGGAATGTCTTTCTTGTTTATTCTGGACCCTATTCGGAAATTGGCATCTTTTGAAATTTGTGTGAAATTGGCATCTTTTGAAATTTGTGTGAAATTGGCAAAATTGCTAAATTCTGACCACTGTACTGGATAGTTGAATTTCATAAATGGGTGGTTTCTTGCACCCATTTGATAGAAAAAATGGAGTTCTAGCGAAATATTCATGTTTTTTGTCGACTAGTACAGCGAAATTGGTCGAAAATGGGGCTCAAAGTGGGCAAAATCGCTGATGTGTAAACATCGCCGAGACCGCTAACTTTGCGAGAGCATAATTCCGTAAGTTTTCTATCAAATTTCAAACTTTTGGTGTCTTTATGATCGGGAAAAGATTCTCTATCTTTTCATAAGAGAAAATAATTTTTTTTTTTTTTTAAATTTGGCCGACCCTGAGAACGAGTTTCGGAGAGGGCCTGTCGACCCTCAAAGGGTTAAATATAGGTAATAGAGATGCATCATAATTAACACCTGGAAAACTCTAGAGGCACTAATCATAAATTTGCACTGAGAAATCATTCCCTATGAAAGCAAATGGCTTGGCAGAATGCCCCTAATTAAGTTCAGGAATGCAGTGAGTGTTCTAAGGAACAACTCAATAAGTGTAAAGGGACCCCTCCCTTTCACTACCACTCCCCTGACTACCACCACTGTTACTCCTCCCACTACCACCATTGTCACTCGCCCCACTACCACCGCTGTCACTCGCCCCACTACCACCGCTGTCACTCGCCCCACTTCCACCGCTGTCACTCCTACTACTACCACTTTCACTACCCCCACTGCCACTACCCCACTACCACCACTACTGCAGCCCCTCCCCACTACTACCACAGCCACTCCCCCCAATACCATCACTGCTGCTTCCCCACTACCATCACCGCTATTTCCCCACTACCATCACTGCTTCTTACCCACTACCATCATTGCTACTTCCCCACTACCATCATTGCTACTTCCCCACTGCCATCACTGCTACTTCCCCACTCGCTGCTACTTCCCCACTAACATAACTGCCACTACCCCAGTACCACCACCCCACAACTACCACTGCCAGTACCCCACTGCCACTACCCCATTACCACTACCCCATTACCACTTCCCCATTACCACTTCCCCATTACCACTTCCCCATTACCACTTCCCCATTACCACCACTGCTTATTAACACGAGTCACCATCACCCCATTCTACAACAGTATGATGTTCATCGAGAATAAATTTCAGCTTTTCTACCATAAAACATAAATTAACAGTAAAAAATGTGATGAGTATATCTGTAGCACAGAAGAAGAAGGTAAGGGACCTGAGGATAACAATGTCACAAATCTTTTTTTTAAGGAAAACAATAATGTTGTTATCAAAGAAAAGATAAATACCATGCCCATGGTAATATATTTTCTGGTCTCAGGCTTGAGTGGCTTTAAGGTGTGCGGATATCCAGAGGTGTGTGCAGTAACCCCTAATATATTTAGTTTTTCCAGGTAGATTTTTGAACTATTATTTACTCGAGGGTCAGAATTTCAACAGAAATAATCTATCATAAATATATCACGTTTTTGGGAATATACACATAATCTATAAGAAAGTTAGTCACATTGAAAAACTATGTATGTGGACCTTAATAAGGTAAATTGGATGCCAGATAGTCATCTTTTTGGAAATGGTTATGGAATACCAAACAGACATGCCCACCAAGTTATACTCAGTCTTGTTTGCTGGGGATAAGACTCAGTACCTGGACCTGCCTCTTGATCTCAGAAAATTGGCTGATACACACTGATTCTTGGTCTCCTGGGTCATATCATACCTACTCTTGAAATTGTATGGAATCTGCCTTCATCTCCTCACAAAGTTCTTTCCACTTGTTTACCACCATAAGACTGAAAAAGTATTTCCTAACATTTCCATGGCTTACCTGTGTTCTGAGGTTTATATTTTACACCACAAATAATATGGTGAGGACTGTTCATCACTTTTTTTCAATGTGATGATTGGCATCCAATTTTACGTCCCAAGAATCATATATAGTAATCATTTTTATTTTTTAAACCAGTGAACACAGTTCCCTCAACATTTGGCATAGTTTAATGTAAATAAGGAAATAACAGCTATATGACTGGGGACACATGTTTTTAAATTAGAGTTAAATTTGAAAAAAAAAAAAATTGGCTGAAATTGGCATGCATACAATACTGTATGTTACTGAATTTTCTACCTTGAAAAAGATTTTTATTTTGTGGTTGCATATATCCTCTAACATTAAGATGAATAATTGTTACTCATTCTATTGCCTATTTTTACATTTGTAGGGGGAGTCAAGTTTTGAAAAAGAAGAACTCGAAATGGTAAGATTTGATTGTGGATATGTTATGTGCAGGAGCCAACTGTTTTGATTTACATCCACTTAAAAATTATATCTTGTAATGTAATTCAATAGTAAATTGTAGGTATTCATCTAATTGTTGCATATGACTTTGCATACAAGTGCTGCTTATAGCAGTATTGAGCCTGGATATAACATATCACCATAAATGTAATGTATAAAAATTGATGTTCAGTGTTTCCCCAGGATTAATAGTTGAACTATCATTGTTTGGCCCTCTTTTACCCAGACTGTTCAGTTTTATAAATTTGGATACTGGTTTGTTAATTTGCACGTACGAGTTCAAGTGAAAGCAGTAGAATACAATGTAAGATCAATTTTTTTTTATGTTATGTATACTCTTCTCAGATAACTTGTTCATATAGCCGCCTTTTATGTTTATCATTGCTATTTTTTGTTACATATATACACAAAAATTCACTCTTAATTTATTCTTAACTCTTTCCTTGGATTAATATATATTCTCCTATTTACCCATTTTCAATCAGTCTAAGGTCCCCACACTACCTATATTAGATATGAATACTACTATGGTAAGAAGACACTATATGCAGAGTTTACCGTTACAGACAACATTTTGCTTTAAGTTGAGCTTTATCAAGGCAGTTCGAAGCGTAGAATGACATGACATTATATATAGAAATAAACAAGGTATCTGCAAGTACAAGTAATGCCAGTCTCCACACACCTCAAAGCTATAAATACCATCTAACCTGTCCGCTTGTCACTTCATATTTTTTTTAATGCACTGGCCTTATCCCACCAAGGCAGGGTGACCTAAAAAGAAAAACAAATGTTTTTCCTTTCACATCACTTCACATATTTCTCTATATGATGTCATGTCATGCTACTCCTTGAATTTACTTGAAAAAGTCCTACTTAGAGTGCACCATTGCCCATAAAAGCTTACTCTGCACATACTGTAATGTTTTATTTTATTTGTTTGCAAGTTTTGCTGTCCAACATTGAACGCTTTGTTTCTTAAAATTTTATTTTTTAAAATGTGCCCCTTTTCTCTCTTAACCCTTTCACTGTCAGTCCTGTAATATTGCAGGCAAGTGTCAGCCCTATAATACTACACCAAAATTCTAGCGGCTTCCAATTTTGTGGGAGAAAGCTGGTAGTCCTACATATGAGAGAAAGGATCTGAGTGGTTAGTGTGCACAGTTTAAAAAAAATCCTACAGCATGCTGTGCATAATGAAAAAAAAGAAACTGACCGTATTTTTGGTTGAAAACAGCAACTTTGCGGTGTATTTTCACATGGCATTTATGATTGTATTCTTGTTTTCTTGGCCTCATTTGATAGACTGGAAGATATATTACAGAAATGGAGATGATTTTGAATAGTTTACAGAGTAAAGTACCTTGAAATTGAACTCAAAGTAGTAGAAGTGTTCGATTTTTACCGATGTTCAAAAGAAACAAATTACATCACGCTTCCAATACACGTCAACTGGTGGGTCTAGCATGCTTTCACAAGTGTGCTGATATTATTTATACCATTTTTTACAGTAATGCAGTAGTCTGCATATGCCACCTAGATGAGTCAGATGTCTAATGTCTGAATACACTTTATTAAATTTGTCTAAATTTTCTCTACAGCATTGTTGGCAAATTGCTCGTTCCATTGGCATTGATTACTAACACACACTCACAGCTGCGCAGCTTCGTACTCTTATAAGTATCAGACTTTGAGAAGATGGTTCTGGCAATCATAGAGGTGTTATGGGTACCACCTGCCTGTCTACCCTTGTCATTTCCATACTAGAACTGGTTGAGCACTGTTGTCTCCAGGCTGTGTCTTGGCCTTGCCTAAATCATGTTGTACACATACATTTTCCAACTGTATAAAGTGTACATACCTGTAAATATCCACATTGCTCTTGGTGAAAGAAAATATATTTCAAAGGCATTCAGCTGTGTTTGTTCTGCTCCTTGCTCCCCTTTACACCCAGGATAACAGGCCTTATTGTCCCTGGGTTGTATTATGGGTAGCCTGTCCAGGAGCTGGAGCTGGACTTAGAAATGAGTTGAGCCTAGGGTGAAGCTGGAGCAGGAAAGTTGTGTATGTCTGTCGCTTATGTCTGGGAACTTCTGATTATCCATTAGTCTACCCACTTTCCTTTTGTCTTCTTTCTTATCCCTCCAAGCTTGAGAAATCCCTATGGTTTAATATCTGTATAACCTTTTTACCCTTCTGTTCTTGAAATCTCACTTCTCTGCTTTGGATTCAGCATCATTATTCCATATCATTTCCAGTCACATTCATATATACTACTGCTGTGTAGACTAATGTCTGCAAATACATTGATGGCGTGGGATGTGCATATAGTCTAAAAATGACTTCTGGAGTCAGTTATTATTTTCACATCAGATTAATAAGCACTTCTTGCTGTCAACATCTATCTTAGATTCTCAGAGTACTCTGCAAACAGTTATATCTTCAGCTTTTCACATTCCTTTTCCTTTATATTCAGTTATGGGTGTGTTGCACTATGAACAGATACAGGAAAGTCATCTGTTGTTAGGTCTCGAGTTATTATGATGCTTAAGGCACTAAACTTGCCAATTTCTTTGCATTTTTCGATTTTTCGAAATCTTTCAATCTTTTCCAGGTTGTTGCTCTTTTCCCACTATTTTTCAGCATTGCCTTAACTCTTGTGAAATTGCTAAGAGTTAAATGACCAAAAAGCTTATTTTAATTATAATACAATTGGGCTTTTGACTATCCTGTCTTCATTGCTGTCAGTTATGGGAAACTATTCTTATGACTTTGCATTAGTTAGACTAGTTGCACTCATGACCATGCTGTCAGTTCATTACTTTTGATAGAGCTGCCTTACTCCCTTTCATTCTACCCACTGCCTCACAAACTTCCCCCATACTCACAACTGGTTCTTCCTAACTCCTACAATATGTTATTCCTCCTTGCCCTATACACAAAATCACAGCTTCCCTATCTTCATCAACATTTAACAATTCCTCAGAATATTCCCTCCATCTTCCCAATACCTCTGACTCTCCATTTAACCCTTTCACTGTCAGTGCCGTATAGGTATGGCTTACAAGCCAGTGTTGGTGACGTATTAGTACACCAAAATTCTAGCGCCTTCAAATCTAGGGGGAGAAAGCTGGTACACCTACATGTGAGAGAACAGGTCTACGTGGTCAGAGTGCACAGTATAAAAAAAATTGGGGAGCCAGTGGTGCATTGTGGGAGTCCCATTTCAGTAAGCCTTGTTTACCATGCTTTCTGGTAATATATACCTCACTCCCTGGCGAATTGGGACTCTACTCTTCCCAAGTGATAGTTCTAACACAGATGGAAGTGTCAGTGAAGATGAATTTCATGGTTTTGAGGAGTTTGTGACTGAAAGCAATGCCCAGGATACCAGAAATATTGCTGAAAACCCAGATGACCATCAACCTAGGATAACCCAAAGAAGTCTGAGTGACTTATTTCCATATGAGTGGTGGGGAAGACAGCATGCTTGTTGGGGAAGATGGTATAGGTAATGAGTGGTGGTGGTTGTGTAATGTGTCATGTGACATCAGCCATTCTGCTCTCAGCACATCTACAACAAAGGTTACCTTCAACCACCCACACAAACACCCTTCCACAAGCTGTAGCAGTTCTAGGAATGTGTCCAGTGACTCAATATGTGTATATTTATTATAGAACAATAGTAATAAACAACTTTTTTTGTTGTTGATTGGTGGAAACAGGTTTTGTAAACAATGTAATGATAATGTTTGTGCAGGTTATTGTGTTGCATAAAATGAGTGGATATATATATACATGACACATTATATTGGTCTCACAGGCCACAAAAGTTACTTGAAAAAATAAAATATTAAAAAATAAAAGAAAAAATAGAATAAAAGTATTACCGAGTGAGCGGCAGTTGCTGATGTTGCCATAAGCGGTTCACTATGTCAACTTTACGCCTCTATATCTCGATAAGTACTGATCGCAATTTTTTTTTTTTTTAAAAACACTCGGAGAATTATTCTTAAGATTTTTCTAAGTTTTTCAAATATTTTTTGACGCTGAGAGTAGGTTTGTGATCAGAGGTCTTGACAGTGAAAGGGTTAATAACTCTCCTCTCCTATTGTTAACTATCAAATCCTTTCGTTCCCTAGGCTCCCTCAACTTATTAATCTCACTCCAAAACTTTTCTTATTTTCAATAAAATTTGTTGATAACATCTCACCCACTCTCTCATTTGCTCTCTTTTTACATTGCTTCACCTCTCTTTTTCTCTCCATATTCTCCCTCCTTCCATCACTTCTACTTCGTAAAAACCTTTAATATGCTAACTTTTTCTCCCATGCTACTTTCTTTATATCATCATTCCACCACCGCTCTTCTTCCCTCCTGCACCCACTTTCCTGTAACCATAAACTTCTGCTGAATACACTAACACTGCATTCTTAAACCTACCCCATACAACTTCATCCCCATTGCCTATACTCTCACTAGTACATCTGTCCTCCAATAGTTGTTTATATCTTACCCTAACTGCTTCCTCCTCTAGTTTATAAACCTTCACCTTTCTCTTACTTGCTGCTTCTATTTTCCTTGTATCCCATCTACCTTTTACCCTCACTGTAGCTACAACTAAAAAGTGATGTGATATATCTGTATCCCCTCTATAAACATATACATCCTGAAGTCTACTCAACAGTCTTTTAACTACCAATACAAAATCCAACAAACTACTGTCATTTTGCCCTACATCATATTTTGTATTCTTATTTATCCTCTTTTTCTTAAAATATGTATTACCTATAACCAAACCCTTTTCTATACAAAGTTCAGTCAGTGGGCCCCCATTATCATTTACACCTGGCACCCCAAACTTACCTACCACACCCTCTCTAAATGTTTCTCCTACTTTAGCATTTAGGTTCTCTACCACAATTACTCATTTACTTGGTGCAAAAGTCCCTACACACTCGCTTAACATTTCCCAAAATCTCTCTCTCTCTACACTCTTCTCCAGGTGTATACACACGTATTATGACCCATTTTTCGTATCCAACCCTTATTTTAATCCACATAATAGGAGTGAATGGAGACGAATGGTATTTGGGACCTGACGATCTGTTGGAGTGTGAGCAGGGTAATATTTAGTGAAGGGATTCAGGGAAACCGGTTATTTTTATATAGTCGGACTTGAGTCCTGGAAATGGGGAAGTACAATGCCTGCACTCTAAAGGAGGGGTTCGGGATGTTGACGGTTTGGAGGGATATGTTGTGTATCTTTATACGTATATGCTTCTAAGCTGTTGTGTTCTTAGCACCTCTGCAAAAACAGTGATTATGTGTGAGTGAGGTGAAAGAGTTGAATGATGATGAAAGTATTTTCTTTTTGGGGATTTTCTTTCTTTTTGGGGATTTTCTTTCTTTTTGGGTCACCCTGCCTCGGTGGGAGACGGCCGACTTGTTAAAAAAATATATATATACATATATTTTTTTTCAACAAACCGGCCATATCCCACGAAGGCAGGGTGGCCCAAAAGGAAAAACTAAAGATTCTCTTTTTTAAATTTAGTAATGTATACAGGAGAAGGGGTTACTAGCCCCTTGCTATAGGGAATTTTCCAACCATGCTTTAATCTTACACTTATTTTAAGACATTATTCTCTCACCTTTAGAAGTGGTTTATTTTCATTATAAAAGCAGTTTTGTTGCATTTATCAATTCTTTTGCTCTCTCTCTCTCTCAGCATATTCTGCAAGAGTCAATACCACATAACTATTGTAGTGTAGTGAACAGTAGTTGCCTTTTACTCCATTCCAAATAAGATACAATATTTTGCTGTAAACTTGGGTGTATAAAAGTTTTCTCAACACTGGATATGCTCCTACAGTTTCAAAACCAGTATTCTAATATATTAACTTCTTACTGTGATATAAGCTACAACTGACAGTTAACCACAATTTGACAGTTGGATACTGTGAAACAGATGAGGCATTCTTGCTCGTGTCCTGTTATTGACTATTTGTATGTTAGGGAAAATATGTTCATGATGTATTTGTTTATATGTTGGTCATGATATTTTTTTCTCCAAGAAGTCTTTGTTTCACTTAAATTGTTTAATAATAATATAAACTGTGTAATTTCTGAGCTTTCTGATGTTCATTATAAGAAAACTATTTACTGGCATTATTATTATTATAGATCTATTTTATATGAAATGCTGAAATAATATATTAAATATGTTTTAAGTTAATGCCTTATACAGAAGTATATTCATGGCTTATCCTGGAGAGGTAAGTATTGCTACAGATATTAGGCATCTTGTATGAAACTTCCGATCTGTCATTTGGGAAATATTTTTTTTATAATGTGTATTATACTTCAGTATTTTTATCTGTATGAATATTGATTTTTAAGTGGATGATAAACATGGTGGAAGATGTCAGTATAAAACAAAGTACTGTACGCTACAAGTATATGTTTACCATGTTCCTAAACGATTCCTTGCTTTTACATGAATGTCAAATGTTGTTAATATGTAGCTGTATATCTCTGTGTGACATGTAAGACTGCATCTGCATGGTTGAAAACATCCTTCATTCTTAGTTTTTCTCCTGTGGACATCTGTACGTTAATCTAAAATCAAAACACAAAGGGAAGAATGAAATGTCCCATAATAATTTGTGTTTAAAATGTTCCCTTAATTTGTTTTCATTAATCATAATTTATATGTCAGCTTAATACAATGTCTTTGCATTATGTAGATAACTTATTTTTTTAGGGAGATGCTCTGCGAAATTTACTCCTGGCACGGTACTTTGATCAGTATCCATGGTCAAAGAAAGAAACTGCAGAACTGCGGGCTAAACAACCACAAAACGTCGGACCAGGAGGTAAAATAGCCCTCATTTAAAAAAATTCTTATTTTTTTTTTTCATTTAAAATAACTTCTTTTTTTTCCAGCTATGAAATGACTTCTACCCCCTTTTACTATACAGTGGAACCTCGGCTTACGAATTTAATCTGTTCCGTAACCTTGTTCGTATCCTGATTGTTGGTATGCTGAGTCAATTTTCCTCATTTAAATTAATTGAAATGTAAATAATCCGTTACAGCCTCTCAGGAGGCATGGCAAAATAATGATAATATCAACTCTGTGGCTTAGTTATCTATCACAGTTCATCTAATATGACATAATAAACAATATTAATAACATAGAAACATGATATATACTCTAGAATGAATAAAATAGGCCACAATGTGGCAAGTGATGGCGATACCGGCAGTGGCAAAAAGCATCCACCGTTTACTCTCCCACTCTAGTATCTTCCCAGTCCATAACCCCACACCTAGCTTGTGTTTACGATTAGTGGTGAGGTTGTCACATATGTAACCACAGGTGTGGTCAAGACAGATGTATCTATGGATGAAGACATGATCACTGTGGCCACAGTGGTGGTGGCAGTGGCCACAGTGGTGGTGGCAGTGGCCACAGTGGTGGTGGTGGCCAGCTGCCTCACTCTGTGCTGCTGCCTTCTTCATTTCTCTAGTTTATTTCATAGTTTCTAATCACTTCCTGCTGATTGTATGTGAATACTGTCTCTTTGGGCGAGGCATTGTGTAAGAAATTTGTACAATATAACACAAAATTGTGCATCCCAAGGGTCTGCTGCAGTCACTCAGAGCCCACACCTCTTCTTCCTTTTAACCTTAGGTTGGCACTGAGATAGCAGTGGTCTAGCAGTACAGCCACCCAGAGGGTTACCAATTTGTATTTTGAAGCATTTGGCACAAAAACAATGAAGAAAAAAGAATATGAAAAATGTCTAAAAATGACAATATATTATTATTATTATTATTATTATTATTATTATTATTATTATTATTATTATTATTATTATTATTATTATTATTGTATTATTATTATTATTATTATTTTTCTTTTCAACAAGTCGGCCGTCTCCCACCGAGGCAGGGTGACCCAAAAAAGAAAGAAAATCCCCAAAAAGAAAATATTTTCATCATCATTCAACACTTTCACCACACTCACACATTATCACTGTTTTTGCAGAAGTGCTCAGAATACAACAGTTTAGAAGCATATACATATAAAGATATACAACATATCCCTCCAAACTGCCAATATCCCAAACCCCTCCTTTAAAGTGTAGGCATTGTACTTCCCATTTCCAGGACTCAAGTCCGACTATATGAAAATAACCAGTTTCCCTGAATCCCTTCACTAAATATTACCCTGTTCACACTCCAACAGATCGTCAGGCCCCAAGTACCATTCGTCTCCATTCACTCCTATCTAACACACTTACGCATGCTTGCTGGAAGTCCAAGCCACTCGCCCACAAAACCTCCTTTACCCCCTCTCTTCCAGCTGCTTTACCCCCTTTCATTCTACGTAATGCCTCACGTACCTCCCCCACACTTACATTCTTCACTCCTAAAAGATGGTATACCTCCCTGACCAGCGCATGAAATTACCGCCTCTCTTTCTTCCTCAACATTTAACCCTTTGACTGTTTTCGACGTGTAAATACGTCTTACGAGCCAATGTTTCTGACGTATATATACTCAATAATTCTAGCGGCTTCAAATGAAGCGGGAGAAAGCTGGTAGGCCCACATGTGAGAGAATGGGTCTGTGTGGTCAGTGTGCACCACATAAAAAAAATCCTGCAGCACACATTGCGTAATGAGAAAAAGAAACTGATCGTGTTTTTGGAATAAAACGCCGAATTTGAGGTGTATTTTCGTATAGTATTTATCGTTGTATTCGCGTTTTCATGGTCTTAGGGGATAAAATGGAAAACATATTACAGAAATAGAGATGATTTTCATTACTTTGACAATGAAAACGACCTTGAAACTGAGCTCAAAGTAGCGGAAATGTTCGATTTTTACCAATGTTCAGGAGTAAATAAATCACACCACACGTCCAATACACGTCAACTGGGGAGTCTAATATTCTTTCACTAGTGCACTGATATTATTTATACCATTTTTACAGTAATGCAGTAGTCTGCATAACTAAATTTTGTATTTTTTTGTATGAATAAAAAATCAAAATAAAAAGCAATAATAATATAAGAGGGGCCTAGAGATGTGACTAATGAACAGAACATATGTTATTTTAGTGCCACGAATGTCTACCTTGTTTATTCTGGACCCTATTTTGAAATTGGCATCTTTTTTAGTTTGTGTGAAATTGGCCAAATTGCCAATTTCTGACCACCATATTAGGTAGTCCAAATTAGTAAATGGGAGGTTTCTTGTACTCAGCTGATAGATAAAATGGAGTTCTAAAGAAATAGCTATGAGTTTGGTCAACTGGAACAATGGAATTGGCTGAAAATAGGGCTCAAAGTCGGCGAAATCGCCGATACGCATATGTTGCCGAGACCGCTAACTTCGCGGGAGCATAATTCCATGAGTTTTCGACCAAATTTCGAACTTTTGGTGTCATTACCATCGGGAAAAGATTCTCTATCATTTCATAAGAAAAAAAATTTTTTTTTTCTTTTTTCAAAAATTGAGCGACATAGAATGACAGTTTCAGAGAGGGGCCTGAAACAGTCAAAGGGTTAAAAGTTCCTCAAATTATTCTCGCCATCTACCTTATTCCTCCATCTCCCAATCTACTAACTCTCCTACTCTGTTTTTAACTGACAAATCCATACTTTCCCTAGGCTTTCTTAACTTGTTTAACTCACTCCAAAATTTTTTCTTATTTTCATTAAAATTTCTTGACAGTGCCTCTCCCACTCTATCATCTGCTCTCCTTTTGTACTCTCTCACCACTCTCTTCACCTTTCTTTACTCTCCATATACTCTGCTCTTCTTATAACACTTCTGCTTTGTAAAAAGAATAAGAAGAAGAAAATTGTCAAAGTGGGAAGTCTGAATGTGCGTGGATGTTTTGCAAATGATAAGAAAGAGATGATTGTGGATGTTATGAATGAGAAGAAGCTGGATGTCCTGGCTTTAAGTGAAACAAAGCTGAAGGGGGTGGGAGAGTTTCAATGGAGAGGAATAAATGGGATTAGGTCAGGGGTTTCAAATAGAGTTAGAGCTAAACAAGGAGTAGCAATAATGTTGAAGGATAAGCTATGGCAGGAAAAGAGGAACTATAAATGTGTTAATTCAAGGATTATGTGGAGTAAAATAAAGATTGGATGTGAAAAGTGGGTTATAATAAGCGTGTATGCACCTGGAGAAGAGAGAAGTGTAGAGGAGAGAGAGAGATTTTGGGAAATGTTGAGTGAATGCATCTAACACACTCATACACGCTTGCTGGAAGTCCAAGCCCCTCGCCCACAAAATGCCCTTTAACCCCCCTCCCTCCAACCTTTTCGAGGACGATCCCTACCTCGCCTTCCATCCCCTACAGATTTACACGCTCTCCATGTCATTCTATGTACTTTGCTCAATTCTCTCTAAATGACCAAACCACCTCAATAACCCTTCTTCAGCCCTCTGACTAATACTTTTGTTAACTCCACACCTTCTCCTAATTTCCACACTCCGAATTTTCTGTATAATATTTACACCACACATTGCCCTTAGACAGGACATCTCCACTGCCTCCAACCATCTCCTCGCTGCAGCATTTACAACCCAAGCTTCACACCCATATAAGAGTGTTGGTACTACTATACTTTGATACATTCCCTTCTTTGCCTTCATAGATAGCGTTTTTTTGTCTACACATGTACCTGAATGCACCACTCGCCTTTTTTTCCTTCATCAGTTCTATGATCAACCTCATCCTTCATGAATCCATCCGCTGACACGTCAACTCCCAAATATCTAAAAACATTCACTTCTTCCATACTCCTCCTCCCCAGTTTAATATCCAATTTTTCTTTATCTAAATCATTTGATACCCTCATCATCTTACTCTTTTCTATGTTCACTTTCAACTTTCTACCTTTACACACACTCCCAAACTCGTCCACTAACCTTTGCAATTATTCTTTAGAATCTCCCATAAGCACAGTATCATCAGCATATAATAACTGTGTCAATTCCCATTTTGTATTTGTTTCCCCATTATTTAATCCCACCCTTGTCCCGAACACCCTAGCATTTACTTCTTTTACAACCCTATCTATAAATATATTAAACAACCATTGTGACATATATATTATAATTATTATTATTAAAAACTTTATCTATGGAGGCAAAGAAGGGAATGTATAAAAGTATAGTAGTACCAACACTCTTATATGGGTGTGAAGCTTGGGTTGTAAATGCTGCAGCAAGGAGGAGGTTGGAGGCAGTGGAGATGTCCTGTCTGAGGGCAATGTGTGGTGTAAGTATTATGCAGAATATTCAGAGTGTGGAAATTAGGAGAAAGTGTGGAGTTAATAAAAGTATTAGTCGGAGGGCTGAAGAGGGGTTGTTGAGGTGGTTTGGTCATTTAGAGAGAATGGATCAAAGTAGAATGACATGGACAGCATATAAATCTGTAGAGGAAGGAAGGAGGGGTAGGGGTCGTCCTTGAAAAGGTTGGAAGGAAGGGGTAAAGGAGGTTTTGTGGGTGAGGGGCTTGGACTTCCAGCAAGCGTGCATGAGCGTGTTAGATAGGAGTGAATGGAGACGAATGATACTTGGGACCTGACGAGCTGTTGGTGTGTGAGCAGGGTAATATTTAGTGAAGGGATTCAGGGAAACCAGTTATTTTTATATAGTAGGACTTGAGTCCTGGAAATGGGAAGTACAATGCCTGCACTTTAAAGGAGGGGTTTGGGATATTGGCAGTTTGGAGGGATATGTTGTGTATCTTTATGCGTATATGCTTCTGAGCTGTTGTATTCTGAGCATCTCTGCAAAAACAGTGGTTATGTTTGAGTGAGGTAAAAGTGTTGAATGATGAAAGTATTTTTTTGGGGGGATTTTCTTTCTTTTTGGGTCACCCTGCCTTGTTGGGAAACGGCCGACTTGTTAAAAAAAACTTATTATTATTATTATTATTTTTTTTTTTTTTTTTTTTTTTTCAACAAGTTGGCCGTCTCCCACCAAGGCAGGGTGACCCAAAAAAGAAAGAAAATCCCCAAAAAGAAAATACTTTCATCATCATTCAACACTTTCACCACACTCACACATTATCACTGTTTTTGCAGAGGTACTCAGAATTCAACAGTTTAGAAGCATATACGTATAAAGATACACAACATATCCCTCCAAACTGCCAATATCCCAAACCCCTCCTTTAAAGTGCAGGCATTGTACTTCCCATTTCCAGGACTCAAGTCCGACTATATGAAAATAACTGGTTTCCCTGAATCCCTTCACTAAATATTACCCTGCTCACACTCCAACAGATCGTCAGGTCCCAAGTATCATTCGTCTCCATTCACTCCTATCTAACACGCTCATGCACGCTTGCTGGAAGTCCAAGCCCCTTGCCCACAAAACCTCCTTTATCCCCTCTTTCCAACCCTTTCGAGGACGACCCCTACCCCTCTTTCCTTCCCCTATAGATTTATATGCATTCCATGTCATTCTACTTTGATCCATTCTCTCTAAATGACCAAACCACCTCAACAACCCCTCTTCTGCTCTCTGACTAATGCTATTATTAACTCCACACCTTCTCCTAATTTCCACACTCCGAGTTTTTCTGCATAATATTTACACACACATTGCCCTTAGACAGGACATCTCCACTGCCTCCAACCGTCTCCTCGCTGCTGCATTTACCACCCAAGCTTCACATCCATATAGAGTGTTGGTACTACTATACTTTCATACATTCCCTTCTTTGCCTCCATAGATACGTTTTTTGATTCCACATATACCTCAACGCACCACTCACCTTTTTTTCTCATCAATTCTATGATTACCTCATCCTTCATAAATCCATCCGCCGACACGTCAACTCCCAAGTATCTGAAAACATTCACTTCTTCCATACTCCTCCTCCCCAATTTGATATCCAATTTTTCTTTATCTAAATCATTTGATACCCTCATCACCTTACTCTTTTCTATGTTCACTTTCAACTTTCTACTTTACACACATTCTCAAACTCATCCACTAACCTTTGCAATTTTTCTATAGAATCTCCCATAAGCATGGTATCATCAGCAAAAAGTAACTATGTCAATTCCCATTTTGAATTTTATTCCCCATAATTTAATCCCACCCCTCTCCCGAACACCCTAGCATTTACTTCTTTTACAGCCCCATCTATAAATATATTAAACAACCATGGTGACATTACACATCCCTGTCTAAGACCTACTTTTACCGGGAAGTATTCTCCCTCTCTTCTACACACTCTAACCTGAGCCTCACTATCCTCATAAAAGCTCTTTACAGCATTTAGTAACTTACCACCTATTCCATAAACTTGCAACATCTGCCACATTGCTCCTCTATCCACTCTATCATATGCCTTTTCTAAATCCATAAATGCAATAAAAACTTCCCTACCTTTATCTAAATACTGTTCACATATATGCTTCAATGTAAACACTTGATCTACACATCCCCTACCCACTCTGAAACCTCCTTGCTCATCCGCAATCCTACATTCTGTCTTACCTCTAATTCTTTCAATTATAACCCTACCGTATACTTTTCCTGGTATACTCAGTAAACTTATTCCTCTATAATTTTTACAATCTCTTTTATTATTATTATTTATTATTTATTATTATTTTATTTATTATTTATTATTTATTATTTATTATTATTTATTATTTATTGTTATTTATTATTTATTATTATTATTATTTATTATTATTACTATTTTTTATTATTACTATTATTATTATTAATTTATGGAACTGGAGCACAGATCCAATTCCCTAGGTCAAGAGCTCATCACTATGTACACACTAATAATAATATTATTATAACAACAACAATAATAATAATAATAATATTAACAGTAAGGAGGAACTTCAAAAGGCTGCCAGTAGTTGATGCCACCATCAGCAAAACATTGGTAACCACTGCTAGTACACTTTTCACCTGTCTAGACTTAAGTAGTCTATTAGTATTAGGTTAAGTCTGCCTGAAATGCCTCTGCATGATAGTGGCTTTCTTTGCTCCAATCATTATGATAAGTAAACACACATTGTAACCTTTGCAAAGAAATAAATATTTTATTTACATATTTATTTAAGGAACCTCCCTTGAGGGGGAAATTCGCATCCTGAAATTTCCTTCGTATCCAGAAGCAAAAAATCGACTGAATGACGGTTCGTATCCTGAAAAATTCGCATGGGGGCATTCGTAAGCTGAGGTTCCACTGTATTTGTTATTTACACAATGTATTTTTTATCTCATTGAAACTAGGCTCATAATTTAAAGCAGTGAAAGAAATTTAGTCTCGCCATGATGTATCACAAATGACTAGTTCAATACTTTGGTATTTTAATAGTTATGTCAAGACTTTTCCGACAAAAAATGCTATAAAAGGTTCTCTGTATACCAGAAATGGAAAGTGTTTTCCAATCTAACATTAAGAATTAGGATATTATCAGTGATTAGAAAAAATCTGTACTTCTCTTGTTGTAAATTTTGTGTTACTTTCATCGGTAACCAAAAGGATAGTGTTGTTTTTTTCTGTCAAATCTGTATCAGTTATTATATTGAGATTCTGAATTATTCTTCATTATTTCCTACCAGATGTAGTGCAGCGACGATCAGGAAAATCCTTGGCTGATGTTCAGTGTGATCTAGCTAAAAAAGGGGCAGCGGTTCTAGTAGTGGACCTCGTGATGAAAAGCCAGAACCGTCACCGTATTTTTGTGGAGGCGGTGGAACTGGGCATCGCACTCCTAGAGGGTGGTAATAGAGAAATACAGGACATGCTGTATAATAAACTCCGGGAGAGCGATAAATGTCAAAACTTTTTTAAGGTAATGGTTCATGTAATTGATGAAGCAGCATTTTTTAATTATATAGTATATGAAAATGTTACAACTTTACACACTTCTCAAGTCTGGCTAACCGGTTTCCCCGAATCCTTTCACAAATATTACCTTGCTCACACTCCAGTAGCATGTCAAGTCTCAAAAACCATTTACCTCCATTCACTCCTAATACTCTCACACATGCCTGGTGGATGTTCAGGCCTTTCACACACAAAACCTCTTTCACTTTTCCCAACAAACTGTTCTCATCAGCCTTATATTATATCTTATGTACAGGTTGACCATCACTGATCAGGCATCAACGGGACCTGTATTGTGCCGGATTAATGATTTTACCAGTTTACAGAGTGGTTAGGTTGGAATACAATTAATCCAATAGCGATATTTATGCATCAGTGGTTTTGCCCACTTTACTCCCTATCTTTGGTCCATTCCATTGTTCCAGGCAACCAGGCTCATAGTTATTTCACTAGTATTCTTTCTATTCTGTCGATTGAATACAAGAAACCACCCATTTACCTATTTCAACTACCCAATAAAGTGAGTAGAAATCAGTAATTTGGCCAATTTCACACAAATTTCAAGAGATGCAAATTTCAAAATAGGTTGCAGAATAAACAGTGCAGACATTCCTGGTACTAGAATAACATTTTCTCTGTTAGTCATGTCTCTAGGTCCCTCTTATATTACGCTTGCTTTCCATTTTGAATTTTATTTACACAAAAAATAGAAGATTTACTGTTATGCAGACTACTGCATTATTGTAATTTCATTTTTTTTAACACATCGGCCATTTCCCACCGAGGCAGGTTAACCCAAAAAGAAAGGAAACCCCCAAAAAGAAAGAAAAGACTTTCATCATCATTCAGCACTTTCACCATCATTCATACATAATCACTGTCTTTGCAGAGGCACTCAGATATGACAATTTAGATGTCCCTCCAAACACCCAATATCCCAAACCCCTCCTTTCAAGTGCAGGCATTGTACTTCCCACCTCCAGGACTCAAGTCCAACTAATAATTGTATAAATAATGTCAACCCATTCATGACTGCTCAATTTCAAGGTACTTTCTGTCCTGCAACCAACCAGAATCATCTCTATTTCTGTATTATATCGTCCATTCTATCAATTGAGACCAAAAAACTGAGAATACAACCATAGAAACCATATGAAAATACGCTGCAAAGTCACTGTTTTACATCAAAAACACTGTTTTTTTTTCTCATTATGCACTGAGTTCTTGTTTTATATAGTGCACACTTACCTATTCTCTCATAAGTAGGCCCAGATTTACTGGTAACAGTTTATCTGAGAGTGCTGAGCTCATGGCATCATACTATGGGACCAACAGTGTCTTCAAAGCCACTTTGTCTTTTATGGACAATGTACGGTGTTTGCACTTTACACAATGAGAAACATTTCCTTTATTCATTGGAACCATGGCTAGGGCTAAAAGTAAGCAGGTTATAACAATAAATGGAGAAAAACAAATTTGAATGACTTATGCAGCACCAAATATTAGCAGCAGGTTGGTGCAGCGACTCCAGAAATTTGAAATTACGCTTGCCAAAATTAGTGCCGGATTACTGGTGGAACCTGATTAGTGATGGCCAACCTGTTCTTATTTATCCTGTTTTTCTTAATATAAGTTTAATTATTACCAAACCTCTTTCTGTCATAATTCAATTAATCCCCATTATCATTCTCTCCAAGCCCTCCAGACTCGCATACTATATCATCTACAACAGTTTCTCATTCTCTGGCATTAAAATTCCAACAACATTTATTTTCTCAGCTGGTTCAAGGCACCCTAAACTTGAAATTCCCACAGCTATTTTTTTAGCACCTTTCTTGCTATTCCCCATAATACTCATTAAAAACACTTATTGTATACTTTGACAAAGAGAAAGAAAATTACCAGTAATATCTAGTTGATGCATATTTAGTACTCCAGTATTACAGTAAATTTTATTCATTAGGATGTTTATATCAACAAACTTTAGCATGATTTTTTTTAGTGTAATTATTTTCACGACCAGCAAATGCTTCCTCAGTTTGCAATGAATATTCTCTGTAGTATATAATGTCTTTAGTTGATTAACATTAGTTGATTTATTGTTTTTTATTGTCTCTATTGTTTGATTTACATGCTAAAAAAAAATACATCATTAACACATTACTGTAATGAAGGTGTTTGACAATAAAATGGATGAAGCTCAGCAAGAGATCAAGAATACTGTCACTGTCAACACCTCAGACCTGAGTGCCAAGAACACTGATGACAAGGATGGACAAAAGGAAGGAGAAAAGTCAAATAGAAAAAAAGGAGGTGAGTAATCTGGTGATTTTTATGAAACTTTAATTACATTAATATGTGTACAAAGCAACTGTCCAGGGGGTATTTACCGTCCTGCCAAGTGAGCATAAAACGAAAGCCCATAATTGTTTTACATGATGGTAGGATTGCTGATGTCTTTTATGTGTCTCATAAACATGCAAGATTTCAGGTACCTCTTGCTACTTCTACTTACACTTAGTTCACACTACACATGCATGTACAAGCATATATATACACACTCCTCTGGGTTTTCTTCTATTTTCTTACTAGTTCTTGTTTATTTCCTCATATCTCCATGGGGAAGTGGAATAGAATTCTTCCTCTGTAAGCCATGCGTGTCATAAGAGGCGACTAAAATGCCGAGAGCAGAGAGCTAGTAACCCCTTCTCCTGTATACATTACTAAAGTTATGAAGAGAAACTTTTGTTTTATTTTCTTTTTGGGCCACCCTGCCTCGGTGGGATACGGCCAGTTTGTTGAAAGAGGAAAATGTATACAAAGATTAGTTTGTCTGATTTTTTCTAAGGAATGCAGTACATTGAGACGAACAATAAAAATAGGTATGAGCAAGTCATTAATACCTAGAGTAAAGAAATGGGTTTAGATTAGAAACTAGATTAAAGATCTTACTTCACAATGGAATTAGACAAGTATGTGTTCAGTCAATCCCCATGGAATCTGCAAGATTATGTTCATAGAGGTCTCAGTGATTGCAAGACTTCCTGTTACCACTATACTCTTTCCTCGCTCATTAACAAATGATGAAAAAATCTTGGAGAAATAGTCATTAGAGAAACATGGATGAAATGCTTGGAGAGCAAAAGTGTGCTTGCTAACTAGAAAATGGTTTGGATTTTGATCAGCAAATTCTTGTTTATCAAATCTATTTATCCTTAAACTGGGTGCAACATGTGTATATATATATATATAATCTGGCCAACAGGGCACAGTGTGTACAGGCAGGCCTTGCTTTACAGTGCTGCACTTTACAGTGTTTTGCTAATGCAGCTGTTTTCAGTTACAGGTACAACTTTGATTTTTCGGACCTTTGGTTCCAAAGCCTTTCCGGATTACTGATTTTTCCACCTTTAGAGAGCACAGTATTCTTTGGTCTTGGGGTTGGATAAGTGATGTACAGTTTGGTGGTAAATGCACTGCCATGGGAATTTCAAGTTCCTGCTCACAAATTTGTATGGTTCTGGACCATCAGTGTCGGGAAAATCAATGTTGTACCTGTATACCCATTCTTCGTTTATTCAGACTTACTACACTAAATATATTCACCACTTGCTATAAGCTAAGGATGAAAATATTTTAAGGTAAGTAATATGTGTACTGTATATGCATTTTTTAGATTTAGCTCTATTGCTCACTTACTATATGATAGTGTAACCATATTACCAGGCTGTTATATGCATTTGAAGGTGATTTTTGTTTTACAGCAGTAGCCCAGAACCTAACCTGTTATATAAGCGGGGCCCTCCTGTATACCAAATGGAAAAGTATCAGAATTATTTTTTTATTTTTTTTTTATTAACCCCATCGGCAATTATATTTTTCAAAACTGCTATTATAGTCCTTCACACAACTGATGTGTTGGCTGTGACCTTGTGTCACCTAGGAAAAAGCCTGGAACATACAGTGCATTATGGGATGCAGTACAGCCTCTCCTCACTTAGTGATGTATTTGTTTACTGACGCTTTGGACTTACGATGGGCTCTGACCAGTATTCACACCTAAATAATGTATATTAGAGCTGATTTCCTCTGTTCTGTTTATTTCAATATACAGTACACTATTGTATAAATATTTAAAAATATATCAGAACTGTTATAAATGGTGAAAAGGTGACATTAAAACAGTATCAGAGATGGTTGACACAAACTCACCACCATTATAGTATGCTCCTCACTTAGCTACAAATTTGTTTAACGACGTGGTCTCAGGAACAGAACTCCATTGTTAAGTGAGGAGAGGCTGTATTGGTGTATTGGAGTGCATGAGAGTTGAGTACAGCACCACATCTGGTACCATGGCAAGGAGTCATATTGAGAAGATTTTGACAGTGGTCCAAGAGGGACTAAAATGTTATCCTGCAGCTTGAAGTGATATAAGCTGCAGTGAAAACTTTATTGAATTTCACAGAAATCGCATTAAACTCGTTAGTTACAGTATCCAATATTAAAATCTACTTTTAGATATACACTATGGATGGAGATGTGCAAAAAATAGTTACAGTGGAACCCTGAGTTTCGGCAGCTTCGAGTTTCCACCGCTTTTTTGGGCTAAATTTTGTCCTGAGTTTCGGCCTGTGCCCAGTGTTTCAGCCGGCATACCAGACCTGTCCACCTGCCCGCGCAGGTGTTGTGAGCCAGTCTAGCTTTGTTTATCTTTGAGTGAACATTACCCTGTGCACTCATCCAAACATTTCACAACAAATTCATTGTATTTAGTGCTTGTTTATTGATTGTGACTGTGAAGTAAACCACCATGGGCCCAAAGGAACTTCCTAGCGGCAGCCATATGGTAAAGAAAGTGAGAAACACCATAGCAGTGAAGGAGGAGATAATACAAAAATACGAGTGGTGTACGTATGGGAGAGCTTACCAGGATGTATGGCAAAAACAAATCAACAATCACTTCTATCCTGGCAAAGAGAAAAGAACTCAAAGAAGCTGATGTTGCGAAAGGTGTTGACATGATAACCAAAAAATAGATCACAAACAGTCAAAGAAGTTAAGAAGTTGTTGCTGGTGTGGATCAACAATATACAGATAGCGGGTGATCATTTGTGAATAGGCAAGGCAGTTGCATGCTGATCTTGTAAAGAAAATGCCTGGAACCAGTGCTGGTGTTAGTGAATTTAAGGCCAGCAGAGGCTGGTTTGACAGATTTAGGAAGCATAGTGGCATACACAGTGTGGTAAAGCATGGCGAGGCAGCAAGTTCAGACAAACATGCGGCTGAAAACTTCATGAGTGAATTTAAGGGGTACGTAGACTGAAAAATTCAAATCCCAACAAGTGTTCAGTTGTGATGAAAAAGGCCTCTTTTGGAAGAAAATGCCAAAGAGGACCTACATTACTCAGGAGGAAAAGGCACTGCCGGGACACATGCCTAGGAAGACAGGCTAACTCTTTTGTTCTGTGCTAATGCTAGTGGGGATTTTGAAGTGAAGCCTTTACTGGTGTTCACTCAGAAAATCCAGAGTGTTCAAGAAAAACAATGTTATCAAAAGTAAATTGTGTGTGCTGTGGGAAGCTAGTCATAATAAGGCATGAGTCACGAGGCAAATTTCCAAAGATGTGGGTCCATGAAGTGTTTGGCTCCAGTGTGAAATAATACGTCCTATAATTTGCCACTCAATTTGCCTCCTGGTGCTGGCCCAGTGCTCCTGATCATCCTCCAAACTTGGTAGACCTTTGTCTAGTGACTTCAGTTTTATAACAGTGAAGTTCTTGCCTCCTAACACCACTCCTCTCACCCACCCCATGGACCAGCAGGTCATTTCTAACTTCAAAAAACTCATACAAAAGCAGTGTTTGAAAGGGGGCTTTGAGGTGACCTCAGACACTAAAATTGACCCTAAGAGAGTTCGGAGAAATCACTTCAGTACCTACAATTGCATAAGCCTTATAGGTAATGCTTGGGAGGGAGTGACTTCCGGGACTTCGAACTCTGCTTGGAAAAAATTGTGGCCGCAATGTGTCCTCCAGAGGGATTTTGAAGGGTTTGAGGCTGACCTGACCCTGCCGACCCTCTGCCTGTTGTGGAAGGTATTGGGTGGCATTGGGCAAGTCCATAGGGTTGAAGGTGAGTGGTGAGGGTATGGAAGAGTTGGTGGAGGACCACAGGGAAGAGCTAACCACTGAAGAGCTGCAAGAGCTTCAATGGAACAGCATCAGACCACAGCTCGGGAAAACTTGCTTCGAGGAGTAGGAAGAGGGTGTGAAGGAGTGCCTTCTTCAGCAATTAAGGACAGTGTGGAATAATTTGCAAAGTTTTGTGGAAAAATACCACTTTGAGCAAGCTGAAACAACCCATCTCTGCAATATGTTCAGTGACAAAACAATCCCCCATTTTAGGCAAATCTTAAAGACACGCCAGAAACAGAGCACTCTTGACAGTTATTTTGTGAGACAGGAACCAGTGACTCCCCAAGCTGGTCTATGGCATTAAAAAGAAGGGAAGTAACCCCAGAAAAGGGACTTGTTACCTAAAGTCTTTATGGAAGGGAATTCCCTTCCAAACAATAAGTCCTCACTCTCTCTCCTCCTCCCTATCTTCCAGATGCCAGCAAGACTTTTCAATAAAGGTACGTAAATATGATTTTAAATGTTTATTTTATTTTTTTATTTTAATAAGTCAGCCGTTTCCCACCGAGGCAGGGTGGCCTAAAATGAAAGAAAATCCCCAAAAAGAAAATACTTTCATCATCATTCAACACTTTCACCTCACTCATATATAATCACTGTTTTTGCAGAGGTGCTCAGAATACAACAGCTTAGAAGCATATACGTACAAAGATACACAACATATCCCTCCAAACTGCCAGTATCCCAAACCCCTCCTTTAAAGTGCAGGCATTGTACTTCCCATTTCCAGGACTCAAGTCCAGCTATATATCAGGTCCTTAACCCCCTTCAGGGTCCAAGGCCAAAATCTGAAGTGGTGCTCCAGTGTCCAAGAAATTTTGAAAAAAAGAAAAATTATTTTTTCTTACAGAATTATAGAGCATATTTTTGTGAAGGTAATAAGACAAAAAAACAAAAAAATCTGATCAGTACTTACCGAGATACAGTGCCAAGAAGTTTGTCCAAAATGATGTGGTGGTGGCAACATCGACAAATTCCACATACGCGCATTACTTTATTTAGCGGTTTTTATAGTTTTTTCTCTTCTTTTCCAATTTTTTTCTTTTCCTACTAACATTTGGGGCCTGAGAGACCAATACTGTATATAATGTATATATATAAACTCACTAGTGGTAT